AACCACCGGCGTTCTCGTCTCGTCGAAATGGCGGAGGACTGGGGTCGTCGCGATCTTGGTTTTCAGGGCGGTGAAGGCCCTATGCGCCTCTCGTCCACTGATCCCGTCAACTTCAATTCTGTTGGGTCGTGATCTCGGGGGATCGGGTCATTCCGGTCCAAGATCTCCCTCAGATCTGACCGTTTCTCCAGTTCTGTAAACTCCATTTCACGTAATTCGTAGAGTACCGAGGCATAAATTGCATAATATTCGATAATTCGGCTGTAGTAATTTAGGCTGCCCAGGAATGACTGCATAGATCGCAGAGATCCGGGGAACGGCAGATCGGTCAACGATTTCAGGTCTTTCGGGCTCGCTTCCATCGGGCTCGCTTCCAAACCTCCGATCGACACTCGATGTCCCAGATATCCTACCTTATCCATGCCCCAAAAACTCTTGGCCACACTGATCGACAAATTCCACTTATCACAAGCCTCCAACAGATCCTCCGCTCTTCGGCACATTTGGTCCCACGATTCTGCTGCGATCATGATTTCGTCGATGTAGGATCTCCGACCCAGCACCGACTCGCGATCAGGATCGTCCACGATCCCGGTCTGGAACACATCCGTAGTGGCGCCAGCGTCGCCGGATCGTGAGATCTCCAAAAATCCATACAGCGCGTTGTCTACGAGGCGTTGATAAATCTGTGGGGCATTCTTCAGACCAAAAGGCATGCGGCTCCATTCGAATAGTCCAAACGGAGTAATGAATGCTGAGATCTCGCGAGCCCGATCCGTCATGGGCACGACCCAGAAACCGCTGGCCATGTCTAGCGAGCAGTACCATAGCGCTTTATCCAGATCTTCTAGCAGATCACTGATCAAGGGCATAGGGTAGACCATCAGCCTCGTGAGGCTGTTTACCATCTTGTAATCAATGCACAACCTGATATCCACACCGTTACTCTTACGAACAATCACGATCGGTGAGGCCCATGGTGGTGTCGAGGGTCGGATGATCTCGGCGGCCAGGAGGCCCTTGATCAGGCTTGCGGCTTTTTC